CACACACACACACACACACACACACACATATATATATATATATATATAGTTTTATTTTGAAGGGCCGTTCTTGTTGTTAAATAGATTACTGTAAGTTTCGCGCCCCTTAGCACGCGCTGCTGGTACTGCATTTTTTTATGCTTGAATTTACAGCATGAGGCGCAAGTAAGCCTCGGGCCTATGCTCTGCCGTGTTGGTATTGGTTATCATAAAGCACTGATAAGGAATTTGGACAAAAATTGAATGTGAGCGGAGAGTTTCCCATTAAGCAGAATCACAGTGATGTGGCTGTAACAACCCTTCTTACAAAGGAATCACACAACTTTTCTTGCAAGTCTGTGATTTTGATTCTTTCTCTTTTTTAGGAACCAAACTAATTTTGATATTTAGAATAAACTTTTTCTCGATTAGCGTGAAGCGTTTGACGATTTTAAGCCACCCCTATGATTAGAGTCCAGCGAGACAATGTGCAGTTATTTCACAGCCATCATAGCCACCTCATACCTGCTATTCTAGGTTTTGCCTGTATAGTCATCTCATATTAGCTTGAGCACTTCAGCCACTCTGTCACTGTTATTGTCCATATTTGACACATTTTCGAGGGAAATCTTTGAAATTTGTATTTAAGTATCAAACACTAGGTATAATGTTGAACACTACACCACTGTTCATAAAGCAAACAAAGACTTATCCTGAATATATGCTGTAAAGATAAAAAGGGACGGGGAAATGTGAAATGTCATTAAAAAAAACAGACGGGAGACTCCGGGGTCAGCTACTTCCTACGGTTGTTTTTTTGAAAGGACCGGTTGGATCCTCGCTCTGCAGCCGACCAATCGGAAGTTAGTATTTTTCGCGCTGGTTGGCCTGAGAGTTTGAGTTTCCCGCAAGCTTTTGATTCGACTTGAATGAAATCCTTCGCTTTACATGATGAATACGGGTATTCTTTCCCTTTAACCACCGAGAGGAGATTCAGCAGGTAACTAGAAAGATGCTGTCTTTCATGTTATTGTCAATCCGGGAAAATCAAGCTGGTTGCGTTTTTGCTAGTGCAGTTATCCGGGTCGACCATCCATTTTAGCAAGAGATGACTTGCTAGTTAGCCATCTATGCTAACGTTAAATGTGCAGTTTGACTTGGCTTCAATGGTTCACTGGGGCTAGCTTTGGCTAGCACTGTTAGCTTTTTGAAACAAGCTGTCATGGCGCCTGCAAAATAAATTTAGAAGTGAAACAAAAGCAGAACATTTTAAACGATTTACCGGCAATGTGCAACTATGCCGCCACGTAGGTATTTGCCTATTTGGTTTAATCGGATAGCAAGTAAGCTGATGGCTTAAGCGTCTTGATGGCGGCTTTGTCTATTTGCTGGAATCCGGTGTAATGGCTGACTGTAGTGATGACAGAGATGCGGTTGTACGGTTGTATGAAAATGCTTGACCGCCTGTCCATGGATGTGATCCATGAGATTCCCTCATCGTGGCTTCCGCTTCAGGAAATAGCCAGGGCCTTTTTCTTGCATGACATTATAGAGAAGTCCGCTTGGCAAAATAGGTAGCCTACGCTCGCCGGCGGAACACTTTAACGTAACGCTAATGTTTAACGTACAGACGGAGCGCTCGTTAAAACCGCTTGCGTTAACGTTAAGACAGCTTCAGTCGTCCTGCAGTTACACTGCAACGAACGAGCACATTACTGTCACAGTGTAGGGCAATAGACAATATGGTTTAGCTTTGTACAAAGGGTGGTATGGATTAAATTCCAGCAATTATTCGCACTCCCAGTTGCATTGCTCTGTATGTCAGCTGCTTCCATTTCCGCGGCTTTTCTAGCCGGTAATGCGGTCGTTACGCGGCACAGCCAGCCGTCCGCTCATTGGACATTCGCTGCATGCGGTGGAGCCTGCAGGCTGATTCTCCATACTACTTTGCCACAGTCTGCAGCTAGCAGCTAGCAGCTAGCGAGTCATTTTCCAGGAGAAAGCCAACTTAAAATTATCGCGGTAAGAGGGTTTTCATGCCGCCAAGTGGGTTTCGTTCGCATGCATGGCTATAATCAAGGATAGGCTTGACCTGACCTCACTCTCATTAGTTGTTATTGGGTGGAGGATGAATAGATAAATGTATAGATATCGTTTCATTAAACACAGTTATTGCTGCTTCAGGCTTCTGGTCAATCGAGTCGCTCTACTTTCTTGTAAAAGCATCCGAAACTACAAGGCTAGAACATTCCGTGACAGGTGCAGTATTCTGTGTCCCCTCCCAGCTTTCTATTCAAGCTCGCTGGAGCAAGTGAGTGCCATTTTGTAAAATGTGTAACGTTATGCTTATTGGAGTCATGTCTCAGAATGCAGTTTAGCAAATTGAAAGAATCAGAAGCATACCCACACACAAATACTGGATAATATTGTTTTCTGATTCAACCTGTGGAATAAGACGTTTTTATGTGTCACTTGTTCCCTTGTAGCTCAGTGACCCTGGAGGGGGTTAGAAGTGATGGATAGCAAAGGTAGCTCCCTGCCTTCAATGCCCGAACCAGCCAATCCGATCAGCATGAAGCAACCACCGGAGTCCCTCAGTGTACGGAAAGGTCGAGGGGATATGAGTAGTGACCCGGCTATGCTAATGGACAAAGCTGCTGCACAGCTGGCTGCCACACTACAAGACAGCGTTCTTCAGAAGATGGCTGGCCATAACAACCACAGTCATGACAGGCTCAAAGACCTCACCTCCCGCATGCTCAACGGTGACCAAGACTCACTGCCCGAGCTTTGTACCCCTGAGCCACCTATGTTCAGGGGTGCCGAAGCGCCTGCCACAAATGGCACCCATCAGCACAACTGTACTCCTCACACTGAAGCTGAACTAACAGTAACGATACCCCAAGTAGTCACGCAGCCGTTATTTGAGCCATGTTGTGCCAATGGGACCAGTTTGGCCACAGCCGCTGAAGGTACTATATCTGGAACCGATGAGAGGCAGGATATAAAGAAAAGGAGGGGGCGAACTGTCAAACCAAATCCTCAAACAAACTTAAATCCCTCTGACATCCAAGTGGAGCCTCCTGGCCACACAAACATTGTGGAGGGAACTGAAGAGACAGATGAGGTTTTACTTTTATTCTTACCTTTTTAAGTGCTACTTAACCCCTTTGTGCAGTGTAGTATACTGCAATATGCTGAGAGATGGTACAGTTAATTTAACAGACTGTATTACATTAAAAGTAGAACATTTTCAGCTATTAACGATGTGTTGGGAAAATGATCATTTCTTACAAAAGTTTGTATTTATTGAGTAACTGTCTTTCTTTCTCTTGTGCAGCCTGAGAACAGGTCGGAGTTGAAAGAGGAAGTAAAGGAACCGGCTCCTTTGCTGAGCCGCTTCTCCGTTGGGGATCTGGTTTGGACAAAGGTGTCAGGATACCCCTGGTGGCCCTGCATGGTGACCACAGACCCAGAACTGAACCATCACTTTAAACAGAAACAGAAAAGTGAGAAACTCACGGCCACCTGCACGATTTTAACATGTCCTGGAAAATTGATTTATGGTTTTATTGATTTGTGCATTTATTGTTTTTCAACAGCCAATGGGAGGTCAGGTCTCCTTTACCACGTGCAGTATTTTGGAGATGCCCCAGAGAGAGGCTACATCTTTGAGAAGAACATGGTGTCCTTCACTGGTGAGGATCAATACCAAGAGCTTAGTCGGAGCAACAAACAGCCGGCCTCCCGTATCAACCATAAAAAGGTATGTCTGCTGCTGCCGCCGTCTTTTGGTCTTTTCCCCTCTATGTGCCGTCTCTGTGTGTTGGCTGTGTAGCAAATGTGGTGTGCCGTTATGAGAAACATGTTACTTTGACGCAGTTTTGAAACCCTGAATTTCCTCAAACTGTTTTGTTAGTTTCACTTTATTCAGGTTTGGGGTTTAGAAAATCTTTTATCACTTCATTACAAAACCAGTCTTAATTCCACTTAGAGCTCTTTTACTCACAAACAAAATGCTAACAAAGAAATTATGTCTGCATCTCATAAGTTTGTGGGAAGAGGCTTTTTTTTTTTCTCTCCTCAGAGTTGTAAGGTTGAATATCACTGCTGTAATGTGTCACCTGTAACTTGGCTCATTCCTCTACTTGTCCCACAGACAACTCCCTCTGTGCCGCGTAAACTCCAGGCTCAGTGGAACATGGGCATCATTCAGGCCAAGGAGGCACTCGACATGTCTCTGGATGCTCGCATGGCCAACTTTGGATTTCTGTATGACGACGACGGGCCTCATCTGAACCTCCACATCTTGGAGAAGTTAAAGCCGGAACAAAGCAACAAGCTGAACCAGAAAGCAGAGAATAGGCTTAGCCCAGATCTCCCCCTCCAACCGGTGGGTACTGCCACTCTGTCACAATTTGTTCCACAAACAATACAAAAGCTCGATTTTTATGCTGGTGTAAAAGAAATGATAAACCTGAATCATCAGATTGTTGAAACCTAAAACAGAGAGCTGTGCTGATCTGTGATTAGTCAGTATTTTAACTGTAAGTTCTTAGAAATGCTGTTTTAAGCGCATGTTCTTAAGATGTGTAATACTGTAATCATGCATTAAACAACATTTGTTTTCTGCAGAATTCCTCAAAATCTGTATCAGGTAAACAAGGTAAACCAGTTGTACCTCAGAAGAAAAAGAGAATATCCAAGCAGGGTCACTCTCCCACCAAGACAGCGAGGAGAAAGAAAACGTCTGCAGCGGACAACACTTCTGAGCCCGTGAAGAAGGGGAAAACAAAGGAGGTCTCTTCAACAAATGATGTTTCAGAAGTGGCCTCACTTCCAGTTTCAGTTCCAGGTTGGTTGAAAGTTGAAGACCTCGCAGCAGATTAACTGACCACTAATTGAGTTTTGGCCGAATTTGACCTTAGCTGGCGTATAATTACCAAAGCTGTGGAGTGTCATGCTTTAAACTGCTTCTTGTGACTAATAGAAAAGCAGAGTGGCTGGTTTATGGCAACCTGTTTATCATCAGGAGGCTGAAGCTTAAAAACGCTGCAAAGTTTTTAGCAGGAGCCACTGATGTTACAGGGACTGAAAGTATGCTAGCGCTAAAATGACCACAACAGTCGTGCATGTAGCAAAGGTCAAGGCAGCTTCTGTATTATTCCTAAATTCATTTTAATTTAATAAAATGTAAAACGAGTCATTGGAAGGAAGCCAACCAAGCTGACATTCATTTTCTTTTTCTTTTTAGTGAAAAAGGAGCGAAAGAAGAAGAAAAGGCTGTTAACAGATGCTGTGGCAGAAGAGGATCAGCAGTCTAACAAGAGATCCAAACCAAGCAAAGATGCTCAAAAACAGGTGAGTTTCTTTGTGAGTCCCAAGTCTAAGAATTTTTTAACACTTTGTTCAGAAGAAACTTTTCCCTGGAGAAACTGAATTATTCTCTTGGCATGTTTGAATGCTGAAAACGCAACATGTTTTGTATCTAACATGGACATTAAGCGCTTTGTGATAAACAACATACTGAGCAAACGTTTGCCTTTTTCAGGCTTCAACTTCAGAAGGACCGGTGAAAAAGCGGAGAAGGTGGACAAAGAAAACCGACGTAAAGGATGCAAAAGAACCCAGGAAACATCTGAAGAAGTCAAAAAGTCCCCTGACTGGTAAAAAAAAAAAAAAATTATATTACTCTGTATTTGTTTGACTGCTCTTTTAAATTCACATCTTTGTGGATTTGTGGCGTCTTAGCTGCTTTGAGTCTTAAAGTTAAAGTCCAGATCATTTGATGGTACACAGATGACAAAGAGGCAGAGAAACCAAAGCGCAAGAGAAAAAGGAAACAGGATGGAATGAATCAGGCCACACCCTCCAAGGCAAAGAAGAGGCGTTCCTCCCCGTGTCCTGATCCCGAGGTGAGGGGATGTAACCGCTGATGGTACTAATGTGAAAAGGTTTCTCCAGTAATTCAAGTTGTTTTCATGATTGACGTTTCTTTTTGTCTTTGTTCTTTATAGAGAGGTCAGCCATGTTGGCAATTAGTTTAGCTCAGCTCGTTAGTCAGATGAGAAGCAAATTTAGAGGCTTTAGTGTGAATGGTACAACTGTAGCTAACTGGCATTGTCTTATTCAGAGTTCATCACACGTTGTTTGCTGCAGGGTTCTGGGAGTGAAGGACGCCCTGAATCTCCGAGTGACAGCTTAGACGGGACAAAGAAGGGTGAACGCAAAAAAGAGTTTGTCTGTCAGGTACGTCTGCTGTTTGTTTCGAAACGAGTCGGTATTAAAGCTCACTCAGTTCGCTCAGCTGTAGTTTAAATCTGTGTGGGTGTGTTTTTCCTCTAGATGTGTGAGCAGGCTGGTGAGGACCTGGTGCCCTGTGAGGGTCAGTGCTGCGGGATGTTCCACCTCCACTGTCTCGATCAGACTCTCAAACCTGACGACAAGCTGTTGTGTCAGGAGTGTAGCACAGGTGAGCAGAACAGAGGCTGCGTTAATAGTGGAGCAGAAGGAGACCGTTTATGGTAACACAATAATTCTGTTCCCGTTGCCGATTCTTTCTTCTCTGTTTCTTCTCTTTAGGAATTCACTCGTGTTTCATTTGTAAGAAGTTGGAGGGTGAGGTCCGGCGCTGCCACGTCCCACACTGCGGCAAATTTTACCACGAAGCGTGTGTCCGCCTCAACACCCTCACGGTGTTTGACAACAAGGGCTTCCGGTGCCCGCTACACACCTGCCTGAGCTGCCACTACGGCTGCCGCACAAAGCACAAGTCCAACAAAGGTAGGCTCTCATCAGGACATTTTAGCTCACGGAGGCGGAGTTTGGTGTATTTGTAAAATTTGTACGTGAAGGCAATTATAAAATGTTGGTTTCCTTGATTCTGAACCTCGTACCAGTTAATTAACTAGTATTACTGTGTTACTTGGAAAGTTGATATTAGTACAATTGATTGATTTCTGTTGCAGGTTTGGTCTTATTTGAATTAAAGTGTTATAACAGTGTCATTAAGAAAGTCTTAAATGTAAGACTTTGCCTTGCTTATTTGTAGAAGCCCAGTTATCTCCAGTCTGTAACAGTTATCACTTTATTTAAAACTGCAGTTTCATGTCAAATGGTTTATGACTAACCTTTCACAGGAATAAACAAGTAAGTGAATACCTGCCACTTCTGTTTGAGGTCATCGGTTATCAGTAGAGCCCTTGTCCGTGTTTACAAAGGTATCCATTCAGGGTTTCGTTTGTGCCCTTCTGGCGCTTTGGGTCACCGAGTTCACTGACTTCGCCGTATGTTTGTGTAACCTGGTCCCGCTCTCTGCGCTGCAGGCAGGTTGATGCGATGCCTTCGATGCCCAGTAGCGTACCACATCGGCGATCAGTGTGTGGCTGCAGGAAGTGAGATGATCACCAACACTGCCATCATCTGCACCAACCACTTCAACGCCAAGAAGGGCTACAGCCACCACAGCCATGTCAATGTCAGCTGGTGCTTCGTCTGCTCCAAAGGTTCGCAGCAGCTGCTCACCTCTTCACACACGGCTGTTACTAAAAGCTCCAGACTGATTGGTTTTAAGAGACTTGTATGCACTTAAAATTAAACATCGTACTAGTCAGTTTTATATAAAGCTACTTTTCAGTACTGAATGACATATTTATAGCTCACTAAACCTCTCTTAAACTTCAAATGTCAAATGTGGAGCCATTAATCTCCCAGGCTGCTATTACTGAAAATCAGAAAATGTTGAACTGCAGCAGCTCAAGTGTTTTTTCCCTTCCCTTTCCCTCAGCCAGTTTTGACGTGTTGCTGTGTGGGAGTGTGTGAGATGAGCGGACTGAAACAGAAAGAAAGTTTCTTTATTAGCTACAATATTATATCCTGCAGAAAAGTCTCACTAGCTATTTTCACATATCTCAGTTTCACAACCCAAACAGAAATGAAGCTATATGCTCTGTTTCAGGCTATATTAACAAGTGTGTACGTAGCAGCTTTCTTTAGCTGAGACTCAAGCTAAACATTGGTTTTAATGTGCGTTTTTTATAAATCAGCACAGTACAGATTATACTTTGAGACTTCTTTTACAGTGTTAAAGACCTGGATGATTTCTACTTTCCTGCTTCTAAATTCAGATAAAACAGGTTATTTGTACCCAGCCTTAAAAATCCTTAGAATTCCTGTCTAACCAGATACTTAATCACTTAAGCCTGCATAATTGAAATAATTGTTGGTCGGGATGTGTCCTTCCCCATGCTCATTAAACAGATATGTGGGAAAAGTATTTGTGCAGTTGGAAACATGCTTTCTCAAAGCGATGGTGAAAAACGACTTCAGTTCAAAATGCTGCAGCGAGAGTACTGACTAGAAAGCGAGAGCTGGCTTGTCTTCATTGGCTCCTTCACCTCACGTAAAAGGTCTTGAATAATTTAAAACTAGAATGGGGGGTGCCGGCTTCAGCTCTGGTTCCCTCTTCTGTGGAACCGGCTCCCAGTTTGGATTCAGGGGACAGAAACCTTCTCAACTTTATGGATTCAAACTTTCCTTTTTGATCAGGTGACTCTAAACCATCCTTTAAATATGCTGCAGTAAGGTTGGGCTTGTCATCCTACAATTTATTGCACCTTGAGGCCACTGCTGTGAACTGGCGGTACATAAATAAAATGTAATTGAATTTGTAAGTAAGCATCTAAAGGACTGGTCGCCCATCTAAAGGTGTCCTTGTGTTGCAGGGGGACAGCTGTTGTGCTGTGAGTCCTGCCCGGCAGCTTTTCACCCTGACTGCCTGAATATCGCTATGCCGGATGGGAGCTGGTTCTGCAACGACTGCCGAGCCGGAAAGAAACCCAAGTACAGGGACATCATCTGGGTCAAACTGGGAACATACCGGTAAGGGAACTGGATGCAAGGGTATCTTTTTACCTTTCATATCTTTGCGCTAAATCGGTAAGTTATACATTTGTTGCTTCTATCTTTCTCTTGTCCTCCTGAGATGGTGGCCAGCAGAGATCCACCACCCAAGAAACATTCCCACCAACATCCAGCATCTTCGACACGAGATCGGAGAGTTCCCAGTCTTCTTCTTTGGCTCCAAGGATTATTTCTGGACTCACCAGGGCAGAGTATTTCCATACATGGAAGGCGACAGGGGAAGCAAACATCAGAGGAATGGAATTGGCAAAGTCTTCAAGAATGGTGAAGATCTCCTCTACTGTCTGCATGCTTTAAATGTTTTCCCTAATTAAGTAATTACTCAGTTTAAAAAAAAAAAAAAACAACTTAAAGGCCATCATACCAATCAGATTTGGTTTCAAGCCACTCATCATTATAAAAAAGCTTCTCTTTTCAAGCTTTGTGTTAACAGAAGTAATTAAATGGTGGGTTTTTGCCAAAAGCTGCAGCTTCCACATTAACGTCTTCAGGTTTTAATGCTTTATAAAAACACAGACAAGCTCAACTGGACATGAAAGCCATTTTCTGGATTTTTGTAATGTAACAGATGCTGTCATAATTACAACAAACACAATGTGTATTTTTAGCTCGATGTGCTCATACTCTGTTCTGTTTTGTCTTCCTCAGCTCTGCTGGAGGCCGAAACTCGATTTAAGGAGATAAAGATAAAGCGAGAGGCTAAGGAAGCGCAGGAGAACAGCCGTAAACCTCCCCCATATAAATTTATCAAGGTGTGAAATGTTATGTCTAAGCACCGGTCCACAAGCACAGAGTTACATGAATGGAATTTTAGGATTTTCATAAACAGTTTGTGTGTTTTTATGTGGACAAGGAAAATTCAAACGTTCGTCTTGCCGTGTTTGATTTTGTTTGTAGACTGCTGATTGGTGTCAGTTTTACATTTTCATGTTGTTAGAGATCTTTCAAAATAAAAGCAGAAAATTTGTCCATTTAAAAACAAAAAGAATGGCTGTTTATGAGTTGATGTAGCTTAAATGCACCTGTGCGTGTAAGGTGTGCTGCATCTTAAAAATGAGTGAATGATGAACTTTGCTTTTCCGTAATGGGGTATGAAGCATGTTCTTTCACATTTTTATTTTGTTATAAAAAAAAAATTATCTCCCCCCCCCCTTAGGTCAACAAACCTGTCGGCAAGGTTCAGGTGTACACCGCAGACATTTCTGAGATCCCCAAATGTAACTGCAAGCCATCTGGCGAGCGGCCGTGTGGGTTTGAGTCGGAGTGCTTGAACCGCATGCTGCAATACGAGTGCCACCCTCAGGTGTGTCCCAGTGGGGAGCGCTGCTGTAACCAGGACTTCACCAAACGTCTGTATCCAGAGACCAAGATTATCAAGACCCCCGGCAAAGGTTGGGGCCTGATCTGCCTGCGCGACATCAAGAAGGTGAGAAGCTTTCTTGCATTGACGTGTTCTTGCTTGAAGTATTTTATTTGTTCATTTCATTAAAACTGCTTAAAGATGCTGCCCGTGAAAGCTCAGGGCCTGTATTCATCATGACGTTGCCCAAAAATACTCACGCTGTAGCTCTGCAGACCCGCCCAGATTACACAAGTAACACGATATCTCTGGTTTCTGGTCTGATTGGTTTCTGATCGTTTCTCGAACAGGGTGAGTTTGTGAACGAGTACATTGGAGAGCTGATCGACGAGGAGGAGTGCAGGGCGAGAATCAAATACGCCCATGAAAACAACATAACCGACTTCTACATGCTCACCATCGACAAGGTTGGTACCGACCGCTTATCGAGAAAGCCCAGCACGCCCTGCGGGTGGGCTGTTTGTGCTCCTCACAGTGTTAGGGTGCCGACTTCTCGGTAGCGGTGCCATTTCCATGGGGAGCTAGATCAACAGATTGGTATTGCATTGGGAATGTTGCATGACAGACAGCTGTAACATTACAGTAGTCAATACTACAAATACTACAAATGCAACTCGACTGCAAAATTTGTTAAATGGGAAATGGAAGTGTAGCTGGGTTGTGGATGTGCATCAGTTATAAACTGTTCAGGTGCTGCAAATGACTGACTGTGGCCATCTGTTTGTGACGGTAAGGACCGAATCATCGACGCTGGCCCGAAAGGAAACTACTCTCGCTTCATGAACCACAGCTGTCAGCCCAACTGTGAGACACAGAAGTGGACGGTGAATGGTGACACGCGTGTCGGCCTGTTCGCCGTCTGCGACATCCCAGCAGGTGAGAGACATTTGACTGCAAGTTTAGTCTTAAATTTAAGCAATAAATATGCTCTTATAGTATATTCTTTAATCTGTTTTTGTTTTTTCTCTATCACAGGCACCGAGTTGACTTTTAACTACAACCTGGATTGTCTCGGCAACGAGAAGACCGTGTGCCGCTGCGGCGCGCCCAACTGCAGCGGATTTCTTGGTGACCGACCGAAGGTGAGCTTCCAAATCCAAACCAATTCAGTGCAAATCGATTGAGGAGCACTAAACTGCTTTGGTGAAGTTCCATAAGTTTGCTCACCTCTGCATTTCCTCTGTAGAACTCAAATGGCCAAACAGCTGAGCCAAAAGGAAAGAGGTTGAAGAGAAAGTATAAAAAGAGGAAATCGGAGGGAAAGAAAAAATCTGAGGACGAGTGTTTCCGCTGTGGAGACGGAGGGCAGCTGGTGCTCTGCGACAAGAAGACCTGCACCAAAGCTTATCACCTGTCCTGCCTGAACCTCACCAAGAGACCGTTCGGTAAGACTCCACAGACAGTCTGAATGCATCTGTTTATGCTATGTTAACTCCCTGTTATTATTACTCACAAATTACATGGCAGCAAGCAAACTTCACATCAAACGAGTCTGAACTAAATGAGTCAAAACCAGGCTTTCAGAGAGGAGGGAGTCTGTTTACCCCCAGGAAAGTTGCTGCACCTGGTGACTAATCACTAAGTTTGCAGTGGAGATGGAAATAGAGAGCTTCACTGCTTCCAGCATAAAAGGAGAAATGGGCTTCGGCTGCCTATTTCTTTAATCCTTCTTTTTCATTTGTTTTTAGCTGTTTTTACAATAATGTGTTTTGTTTAATCAAAATTGATGCCTCTCGCAATGTTAAGGCCCCACATGGGCACCGTGAGGCTGTTCTTTGATGAGATGTAACTGACTGAGCTCTAGTGAAAGTGTCGTGGCTCTCCACAGGCCGCTGGGACTGCCCCTGGCATCACTGTGACGTCTGTGGGAAAAACTCTGAAGCCTTCTGCCAACTCTGCCCCAACTCTTTCTGCAAGGCTCACCAGGAGGGGGCGCTGCGTCCCTGGCCCCCCACAGGACAGCTGTGTTGTATGGAGCACGAAGAGCTGGAGGGAGGCGACAGCCACACCCAGGATATCGACTCGGAGACGAAAACTGCCGCCACCGTCAGTCGTTCCTCTAAAAGCTCCAAGAAGGCGGAGGGAGCAGAGGGCAAAACAAAGGGCTCCAAGAGAAAAGCCGCAGACACCTGAAGTGACCTTTCACAGAGCCAAAAACACCAAACCAGACTCGGGCCCCCTTCTTCCCCATCCACATATAGTGTTTTCACAGGAACCAAGGCACTGTACATCGTTGTTATCAGGGAAAGCTGCTGATCTCTCACATGCTCAGCAATGGCTCATCGCTCAAGAGTCTTTTTGTTTTTTTTACCTTTGAAATTTTCAGGCTTTTTTTGTTTTGTTTGTTTTTCCCCTCTCCCCCCGTCTCGTCTGCATTGAGGCGAAACATCTGTGGTGAAGCACAAATCAGCAGAGCAAGCACAGGTCCGGACACTCATTCCTCCAGAAACCAAACAGCCTCTCATCTTACTGTCAGCTTGTTGGTTCGTTTTTCCTCGTGTATATAACAGAAGAAATGAGCTGGCGTCTGCATTAACGCTGATCCAGCCAGGACTGAAACCAAGTGCCAGTGTCACCGTCTAACTTGAACCTCAGTCGGGCCCCCTCCTCTCACTCAACACGGATTATCTTGAACAGCAGAGTTTTATAGCTTATATCTATATGTGTATATCGAAGACCAAAAGTATAATTACTGGAGTAGTGTAAGACATCACACAGGTTGCCAAATGGATTGTTTTTATTTTTATATATAGTATATATATATGCCAGATGTAATATGGAACACCAAGACACTATGGATAGGCGTCAGATGACCTCTTTTGTTTTTGTAGCCATAGATGACCTGTAACTGTAGACGTGTGCTGTTGTTTTTGTTGTAGCTCAGTTTGAACTTTTTTTTTTTTTTTTGAATAATTTTATGATTTCTTTTTTTTTATTTGAGTTTATTTGTGAAACAAAGATGTTGAACAGTGTGAAGCATGTCCAGTAAACGAGGGATTACAGAAGGTATTAAAAACGAGAGCAGTCTGAAAACTGCCCTGTGACTTGAAAAAACAACAACAACAAAAAAACACTACTTGGAGGATTTCCAGGTCTTAAATACTCTGTTCGATGATGAGCCACATTCTCGAAGGAATGACGGTGACTTTTCGGGTCAGTTCAGAGTCCTTAAGGTGCTCTCTCTCTGTCTTTTTTTAAAATATCCACTGTAGTGTCTGATATCTGATCTCCGCAGATTTTAGGCTGGAGATATAATAATGCTGTCTGAAAGTCGGGCTTTTTATCGACGTAATCTGAGATTTAAAAAAAATCTTTCTTTTTTTAAATCCTCCGGAGGTTTTCGTCTCAGAACTGCAGTCCGGTTATTATTTAACACTCACGCGCTGGCAGACGACAGCACACTGGCTAACGTAATGCATCTTAATATTTGACGTGTACTTTTGTCGCATTTAACGATGAGCCCCGAGGGCTACGTGTCAGACGCTTGGCTGAGCATAAAACTGCTAAAATACTTGGCCCGTGTTTGGCTGATGCAAGTTTCATAACCTCACCCTGCAGACGGTGTAAGGATGGGCACAGCCACCATGTCCCCCTAGTCCCAAAACGAGGCCTGAAGCTGAGGGGTTCCGATACAAGAACATCAACATTGAGTGAGGGAGCTCAGTGCTTCTGTTCGATTGTGCAGCATTTCACTAGAATGCCTAAAAGCAAGTCCTGATATTTGTGCAGGGGGGAGTCTCTGCATTTACCTTTTGCACCAGAAAGCATCAGCCAAGCCACCAACACCCTCACCCCACCCAATTTTAATTTCTTTTTCCCCTGAAGGTGTTAAAACAGCGTTCCCACAGGTGTATCTTCATGTATGTAATGATTTTCTTTTATTTAAAGTGCTGAGCTGAGCCAAGTCTGACAATATAGAGCTCTGAAACCACTGCTTCTGAAAAGCACACACACCTGTCGAGGGAAGAGCACAATCAGGTTGCTGTAATCATGTGACACCTCCACACTTTTGCCAGTTTTTGCCTGAAAAGTGCTGATTATGCTTCCTGAGCGGATTTGACATTTTTAGGTCTCGCTGCTGCTGCTCTCTTTGAGTCGGTCACGAGGCTGCAGACATTTGCTTGTGCCTTTAACTTCACATTTGTCTGACTGTTTAAATTCTCTCTTCCAAACAGGTCGCTTGTTTCAGCAACTTTTTATTTTTTTTAAATCTGTTAAAAAAGACTCGGAAGCAGATTTTACTTGTATACATCCATCAGGAGGCTGTTCTCTTGTTTTTTGTTTTTTAATAACTGCACTTTTTTTTTTTGTAAAGTTTTTCCCCAAGGCATGTGACTGGGATGTGTCCAAATGTTCAGCGAGTATTTTTGACTTCCTATGTTAATTATCTTCATCCTAACCTTGATTTCTTGTTCTGTTGAGTGAATGTAGTCCAACCAGTCCCTTTTTTCTTTTTTATTTTGAAAGCACTGTAATTCCCTGTAGAGCTGAAGTGTAATGCGTGTAGGGGTTTCATTCTGTAACTACTGTCATAGTAAACCAGACTAATATGTACATAATGTATAAGTGGTAATAGTGATGCATTTATTGTAAATATACAAGTTTTGTCCTTTTTGGGGTTTTTTTCTTCCTCCCCTTGATGCAGTGCTGAAACACTTTTGTGCAGGATCTCACGTCAGCTGAATCGTGCAATAAAAAGTGGTTGAACATGTATCCACCGTCTGCTTTTTTTTTTCTGTGTAACTGAGAGAAATAAATGTACGTCTGTTTTCACCGAGACACCAGTGTGAGATGGCACGCCTCCGCATAATTCAGTCAGGAGCCAGAAGATTTGCTTTATACAGCATAAAGTCAGTTGTGGTTTTGTTTTTAATAAAGACGTTCAAATCACAAATCATCTTTGGAATTTTCTAGTTGTGATGGAATTTTTTTTTTTTTTTTTTTTAAGCTGCCAACGAGACGATGAGTCAAATTTCCTCAGTGTCCAGTGTTAACGAGGAGGTTCAAAGGAATCTTGAGGTCCTCATGGGCTCATCCAGTCAGAATGTGAATGAACAGTCATCTATCTGTTGCTGTAAAGGACACATGTGGGCTGCTAACTCTCAGCTGCCGCCCTATGTGGGAGTAAAAAGAGTAAGTGCAGTCCTTATGTAACATGTGACAGGTGAATGCGATTAAGGGCAAACTCCAAAGCCAATCAAAGGTGAGAAAAGGAAACGAGGTGAATCAAGGAGGAGAAAAGAATCTTTACAACATCCAGGTACTACAATGCTACATCCCAGTGCTGCAAGATGATTTGCATTAACAAGCCTCTGATGACTCTACATGGACCATGTTGACCTTCATTCACAGAACCACACTGAACTCCACTGTAGTCTGTGGACCAAGAGATGAGAAGTAATCTGATTACTGGCTTAGTTTTCTCCCTCCACCAAAATGAAGATGACATGCCTTTGATGCTCCTCTTTGAAATCAGCTGTTTGTCACTTTGAAACTTATGAAGCACCTTTAGCAGCGATAACTTGACATAATGTTTTTCAGTGACTTTGTCAGTTTCTCACATCATTGTGGGGGAATTTTTGTCCCACTCTTCTTGCTTCAGTTCACTGAGGTTACGCACAGCTCTAAGCTCCTAATCGTCACCTCTCCCTCAACAGCCATCATGACGTGTTTGTGCTGATGTGGATGTGATTGGTTTTCACCAAACGTGGCGCTGACTCATTACCGAACATCTCCTCTTTGGTCACCTGTTCAGGGGACGTTGTTCCAGAAGTCTCGTGGTGTGTTAGATGCAGCTTTGCAAACATAAAGCTCAGCAGCCCTCAGTCTTTAATGGTATTGTCATAAACTTTAACATTTAACATGCTGAGACCTGTAGAGTCTGAGCTGTACCACACAGAGTTCTGTGTGACCCTACAAGGACATCCTCCTAAAACTTTGAAGGCAGCCTAACATTTGTCAGTGTCTACAGACTCTTCCACACCTGTAACCTGCATTCAGGGCACCCATAGGTGGACCTGGCACTCCTGATGTTTTCAGTCAAGCTGCAAAGTGAGTAGAAGTCCCTCTGCAGGGCAACAAGCCCTCATGGAGTCAGACATGAGGGCCTGTTGCCCTGCAGGCCCTCATGTCTGACTCCATGAGGTATACACAGTTTCATCAGCTTGTTGGACTGAATGACTTTATCGCTGTTGTTTGGTTCATGTGTGAAGATCCTCCTCACACATGAACCAACTACTCACACCAGAAAAAAAGTTAATGTATTTTTTTATAAGGAGATCTTCAAGATGAGAGCATTTTAACATATACCTTGAATGACTGAGTTACTGTATCTCTACAACTCATCAATGAGACACAGAAACCATTTTTCAGTCCAGCAGAGTTTTTATTCCTCTTTAAGACAACAACAAAAAAATAATATTTTGCATAACAGTAGTACAGCAGCGGCCAAGGGTACAAAACGCTTTCTTTTGTTTGTTTTAATTATTCAGTGTAAAAATAACTCTACTCACACCTGTGCCGTCCTCTCGTAGTGCAAACGCTTCAAATAAAAGTTAGGCACATGATGGATACGATCGCAGTTCAAATTACACTTAAGTGCTGATGACGAGTAAAACATTCTGAATTCCTGTTTCAGTTTGCCAACCCACCCACCCCCACCCGGCGTCATCGCGTAGGACAACCACAGACTGAAGAAGTACTCCGTTTAAACAGCGTTAAAAGGGCAGTTTGACCTCCTCTTTGAAGCGGTCGAGGTCCGATGAAGCCTGATTAATTAAAAAGAAGGCCTACGCAGTCCTGATCACTGACAGTATGACTGAGGATTACCTGCTTCTGATTCTTCCACTAAGTGCAACTGACTCATGGCCGAGTTTAATACTAGAGACGAAAAGAAAAGACATAGCAAGCTTATGGTCCCAAGCAACAATCCCAACTTTGATGCTATTGCTTGTTTATATCTGAGCGAGCGATTAAATGGCAACTTGACATCTTTCTATTCTGAGGAAAGGAAAAAAAAAAAGAACTAGCACAAAATAAAATAAAATATTTCCCAGTTTTACATATGTTACAAATAAAAAATAAATATCAGCTCTGTTTTTACTCTAGCCTTATTTGTTTTGTTTAGGATTTAGAGAAAAATAAAGGTACAAAGAGCGGCTGTCGTTCTTCTCCGAACAACACAGTGCAGCTTAATTTCTAAGAGTTGTTCCGTCATCAGGACGCCAGGACGCCCCGGCGAATGATGTCAGAGACGTAGCGGCGGCTGAGTGACGAGTCGCCTCTCAGCTGGTGTGAGTGGCATCGTTTCAGGCAGGGCTCCAGCTCGCCGTCGCCCGCCTTGGAGTCAGACGTGTAGTCCTCGTTTTCCGTCCCCGTGCGCAGTCGGGTCCTGGGGTACGACGGCTTGGGCGTGTTGGTCAGTGGCCTGAGCAGGGGCTTGTGTAGCTCCGCCTGCTTTTGCTCCGTTATACTTGCGGGTTTCTCGCTCCTCTTTGGGATCCTGAACTTCCCCCAGCTTCTCAGCTGTGCAGCCTCGGGCCCGTTAGATGCGTGGGAGCTGTCGGCCGAGGCTCTCCTCAGCCAGCCGTTGGTCTTGGCGCTGGGAGCGGTGTCTGACACCGTGCTGGCTTTGTTACATTTAGTGTTGCTCGTCACATCCGGAGAGATCGGGCTTCTTTTGATCCCTTCATCTATGAAGTAGTTGTCTGAGTCAGAGTTTCTGATGTCTACCAGTCTGATGGACACCGTTTTCTCCAGATGCTTTGACCCAAACCTGTTCTTCCCCTGGCTGGTGAAGCTTTCTGTGGAATCATTCCCCTTTTTCCTCCTCCTCTCCTCCTGCTCATGCTCAATATCCCGTTTTCGTCTCGCTTCCAGTTCGGGCTCCGCAGCCTCCCTTCTCGGGCCTTTCCGGCTCTCATGCTTGGGCAGTTTGCCGACGGCTGGTTCCTGAATGACCTCTGGCTTTGGGAGTTTTTTAAACGGTGTCTCCTGGCTGATGTGTTGGATTCTGGCCTCCATGGCTGCGGCCTCTTTGATCTGGGAACTTTTGCTATCCCTTGTTTCCGATGCCTTGCTCAGATTGTCCTTCTTTTGAGTGTGCGGTGAGTTGGGCAGGCTTTTTCTCTCGCTGCTTTTCCTTTTTTCCTTTCGTTTGGTCTTCAGTCCAGAGGGGCTCCAGGAGGAGCTAGACTGGGAGCCCTGAGACGATAACCAGCCCAGAGAGAACAGCTTTTCCAGATCCTTTGCTGAAGGATCGCCTGAAACACACAAAAAACATACAGGTTTATTAAAACATGAGAGGTAACTATCTGTAATTATCAACCAGCCAAATTAGTTGCTTTTTCTAATATTTCTATCCTCATGTAAAGGCCAACAGCAGAACGCAGGGCTTTGCTGTGAGCACCAGTTCAATTTTTTTAGTATGTAGCAAACATTTGTAGTCTTTTGATACAGGAAGTAGCTTTAACATTGTGCTGACTTATTACTGAGCACGAATCAGACCTGGGAATAGGATGAGGAACATGACCTGTGTGCAAGTCACATCCTAATTTCTGCTCTTCTCTCGCCAAAGTTTCCACGTGCGATCAGCGACGCCATCAAGGAAATCCAGAAAGATCTACCTGACGTAGCCTGTAACACGTCGCCTACTGATGGCCTTTCAATCAGCTCAGCAAATAGTTGCTGGGTGCAAATATACAGAAATGATCAAACCCCACATCTGAAGTCGTGTGTGCAGAAACACACTTTTATAATTCAATACAAAATATCTCAACACGTTACAAACTGCAGGCGGTTGCAGTTTGTAACGTGCAGCTTTCTCACCTGCAGACCTGAGAAAGCTGATGGGACACACCGTCTACTAGCTAGGTTTACTAACATGAATGCAAAGTTCATGTGGAAGCTACCACATGCAAACCTGTTACAGTTTGTTCATCTCATGGACTCACCGCTGAGCAGCTCGTGGTCAAGCAATCGGACCTGGTGCTGGAAGATCTGCTCCTGGACTTTCCACAACGACCGCTTCATCTTCTCTCTCCGAGTCACCATGTAGGTCAGGTTACGAACCTGTGGAGCATTAGCAGCTTCTTTAGTCACGCTTTTATCAGATTGCATCCTACAACAACTACGGCTCGTGCTGTCTTTTCACTTCTGCTGACTTAATTGTCGTGAGCAAGTGCCTCATTTCTGCATTTCTACAAACAAACCTGATATCCCAACTTCAGAAACCTGGATACGATTTCACAATTACAGAAAAAGAGGAAAACAAAAATAGGAAACTTGACCAAGTTCAGTCAAGTTATGTGATAGTAACACAAAATATATTTTTAATGCGTTTTAGAATGATGGGATTAACCAGTTAAATATACTTTATGGAGACGTCAACCTGGTCGTTTGTGTAAACGGGTTTCCCGACAGAGTGACTCATCCACAGCACTCTGTAGCAGAGACTCTGGTATTTGTGACGTAACCTAAGATGTGTTGAACCAGATGTTTTGTGTTTGTGATAAATAATCTGGGATCAACCTCACAGCACACAGCTAACTAACCAGACAGACTGTCAATATAAACACTGGAGCCATAACCAGCTTTCCTTTCCCTGACACAACTGAGTACCCCTGCAGAAAAGTACTAATGTCTCACCTGGGCCTCACCTGGCCCACAGAGAGCATAAACTTCTTGAATGTCTCACTTAAACTTGTCTTTGTTTCAAGGTCAAACAGCAACTAGCTTGTGTGTGTCTACCAGGACAGTTTTTAGGCTCAGCACTACTGGCTGGGCTAATGTAACACTAGCCAGTCCAAACGTCTCAACAGCAGAGGGCAAGAGGGTGAGAAGGATTTAGCCTGCTGTGTTCAGAAAATATAAGAGGACAGATATCAGCAGAGCAACTGAAGATAAACTATTTTAAGTCATGACACTTGAACTGTTTGTTTTTACTCTTTAGTGTGACTTACTCTGTCGGGCTGGGTTTGAAATACAGCAGGATAATTACATCCATCAGCTTAGTGATTGTATTTGGTTTTCTAAAAATTAATGCTTCAATGTTTGGAGACCTGCAGAAGGTCGATTTAGGGCTGGAATATTTCACCACCAAACGTGGTAAAGATGGCAGCTCTCACAACCAAACTCAGCACCGAGAGCACATTTTTTCATTTAAAGCCTCATACAGCAATACTGTGGATCACAGTCAGTAGGCAAACCTGCTGATTAGATATTGAAGAAGCATTATAAACTGCTAGTGATCGTGTAGTTTCATGCAGCGCATGGTAAAGATTGTTGTTCCATGTTTTTTACCACAGAGCTGGCTCACAGTGCCAAAGGTCCATTCTATATAAAATCAGTCATCTTAGAAGAGTTTTGTCCAGCTTTTAAAAGACGGTTATGTTCGAATAAATGTAGCTATACAAGCAGTTATGTCTTCTGTACTAATGAAAGGCCCTCTGTGGACTTTATCAAGCCTGTTTGTTTTGTTTTTAAATAAATAAATGACCAGCAGCACTCCTCTCCTCTATAAGCAGCAGACTTTTATGTTGCACTGAGAATTTATTGAACTGCATTTAAGCGTTTCTCTCGTCATCCCCTGCTCTTCATAACATTTCTCTTCTTGCCTCCGCTGTTGTCTTTGCGCCTGTGAGTCCTGCTGCAGGTGGAGTCAAAACCTACCCGCTCCAGATCTTGTCGGAGGTGTGTGAAGAGCTGCAGGCGGCGCAGCAGCACCTCCTGCTCTCGCCGTGCCAGGCTCTCCTCTTCGTCTTTTTTGGGCGTGAGAAGCGGCTGGTTGAAGTTGGCTTTGCGTTTCAGTTTCCAGTACTGATAGAGAAAGTCCACCACCTCAGGCACCAGCTTCAAGTTACTAGTTACCTCCTCCACGTCTACAAACTGGTAGAACTCTTCCTCCATCTCTTGCAGCTTCAGTTTGCGGAGGTTGACTCTCTTCTCTTCCTTGCTGAGTGCCTCTGGGTTGGTCAGTGCTCTATCGATGAGCTGAGGGGCCACACAGGAAGATGAAGAGGGGGAGGCAGCATCTTCCTCCTCTAACACCTTCACTCTCCTCCTGCCCTTCTTGTCTCTGGCACTCTCCTTCTCCTCGTCACCCGAGTCGCGGTCCCTGGACTCGTCACCCTCAAGCCCAGAATGTTTGGGGCAGTAAGACTTGAACTTGACCTCATCGTCATCTGTGAGGATAGTGTTCATTTCAAGGTTGGCGTGGAGGCCGCACGTCACGTGGAAGGAAGTCCGGCAATTTTTTGCTGAACACTAAAGAAACAAACAGAAAAATGTTTACTAAAATTAGTTTTTTTGTCCCCCATTCCTACAGGAAATATAATATATAATTAAATAAAACAACAACAACAACAACAAAAAAAAACAACTTATTACTTAAAAATGCCAAAACTGAAATGCTGTCAAAGATGTCAAATTCACCAAAGCACAGCCTGAGACACAAACCAAAAAGAATCTCTAGCATCAGAAACATCAAATTTCTTCTCTAGTTATTCTTTAAACCTGCAATTCTGTATTTTGCCATTTGGGGGCAGCAAAAACAACATACAGGTATTTAATTGATCAAAATAAACTAATCAAATACCAAAGTAACACTCCAGCCCTCTACTTGCTGTGACTCAGGCTCTCATACAAACCCACTTCAAACAAACAGAAGTACCTTCAGCTTAATAAGAAGTGAAAACAGTCAAATATATCAAAATGTTATGAATGACATCACTAAGTTTTCTGAAAATTGTATCAGAAAGAATTTTGATGATTGTGCTATCTCACAGTGTGATGTACTTTCAGCTGCCCTCGTATTTCCTACGGGGTTGCCGCAGCGGGTGGATCCGCATATTTGATTTGGCACAGTTTTTAGGGCGGATGCCCATCCACACAGCGCTGATATCTCACACTACCAACACATATATCATGCACCAACATTCAGCCTAAATATACACAGAGATCATTTCTTTCTCCATATCACTCAGTCCAGATCTGCTGTGTGTCAAATTGTCTTCCTGCCTTACTTTTATGTTGTTACTGTTGTGAATTTAACATGTTTAACACAAAATCTAAAACCACACACTAAAACATTTCACTGCTGAGTGATCTGCTGTGCCTTTAAGCCTCCACCCTGCTGAGGTGTGAAGTCACTGCCTTGATTTCCAGTACATGTAAACTGAAGAACACTGATGCATCCTTTCACCCGGTGTGGATCAATAATGCCCACACTGTGGAAATCTCCTCCCGTAGTCTGAGTTACTGACACGTGCTGGATGAGCTTTTCACATTAAATGAACCGTGTATTGTTAATAACCTGAATGCATGCGCCAGTCTTCTCTTTGCAGAGGCAGCAGATCAGAGCCCATCTGTTGCTGGGAATATGGGACACATTGGTGATCGGCTCCATCTTCTCTGGATTCCCAATGCTCACCTGCACAGAGGGTTTAACACACAAAGAGGACACGAGTTGCTCAAACGTCAGCGCACATGGTGTTGACAAATGCAAGCACATGCAGAGTGGTCTTAGACACAGTGTCACTGCCATGTGTGTCAAAATGGTTACCAACATTTTAAACAAGTGGGATCAAAACCTACGACTCTTAACAAGACAAGCAGCTGTCAGGAGCAGCCAATCAGAAGAAGAGTAGAGGCTACTAGAGTCCCACAATGACCATTTGATTAAAAACAGAAATTATGACTGATCTTCACCTCTGGAATCCACAAGGCACAGCTGACGTGGACCCACTTAGTTCCACTTCGGGTGGGCTTCATGGCTCCGCCCTTTTTGGGACACAACTGGCACTTTGGCAGGATGCCGAGGGCACAGATCCGACACAACCAGCTGCCCTTAGGGACTTTCTGGATGCCGTAACACGCCTGAAAAGAAACCCAAACAGCGGCTCAGTTTCCAGAAAGCAAGCAGAAATGACGACGCAGACAGGAAGTAGGTGTGTCACATGAAAAGCAAACCGAAAATGTAAGACAAGTCGCTTTTTTTGCCTCAGTGAGACGAATCTCTAAAGTCTTGCAACATTCTTTTTTCTTTGAACAAGTTAACAAAATCCATCTTTTCCCCTACAGGAAACATTAAAACGGGAAGAATTTTATTTTGAGTCCTTTCATGTACAAAAAGCTAAATAACTGTTGACGTTAGCAATACGCAGCCAGTTTATTCAATGGGAGTGACGTCATATATTTTTACTAGACAGGGAAAAGTTTAAAACTGACAAAAGAAAACAGATTTGACTTCATATCGCACATTAACAGATTTAGAACAATATTCTGTGGCTGATGACAGACTTGTCCTCTGTCTGCTGTGTTTTTTTCTCATTTTAAAGGGAGATGACGGCTGACCTGGTGAACGCAGATGTTGCACTTGTCACAGAACACCATCTCGTTGTTGTCCTCCCCGTCAGGTGACTGGCAAACATCGCACACCACATCCTCGTCATACTCGATGCCTAACCCCTCCTCGGTCTCCATGGCGTGCGTCATGTTTTCGTGGCAGCAGCGCTCAAACTCTTCCATCACACGCTCCATGGTGATTTCATCCAGTGGCGGAATAGCTGGGAAAAAAATATACATGAATAAAGATGTCCTGATCTATTATAAAGTTACCTTATTTGTTGATGCTCTCTTACACTTTTGGTTAGACAATATGATCAGACTGCAGTGATGAAAAATAAATAAATCTGCCTCCTGCAGGAGAGTCTGGGTTTTATCATCTTCAATTTCACTACAATTTAAGCATCAATATTTCTCTGTGGGCTGAGTAAATGCCCTTTTTGTTTGGCTTTTAATTTGTAATTACACCTACATTTTCCATCCATCTAAAAGCAGACAGAAGACACAAAATGCTCAATAACACATACAACACAGAGTTATCAAACAGAAACTGGAAACAGCAGTGCAGTAACACAAGAAGCCTAAAAAAAAGCCGGACTCTTTACTCAAAATACAAACTGGACCCAAAAACCAAGTCTGTATATAAACACAGCTTGCAGCTGAAGGAGCACAGGAGAAGTTATGAGGGTGTCAAGGACAAGAAAGATGAACAGGACAGATTTCGCTGGCTCTCTGCGTCTCTCAGCTCACGCTCCTTCTGAAGAAAATAGCTTTGTGACTGCAAACCTGTACTGCACGTCTGTTTATACAACAAGGATCTATAATAAATACATACATAATAATAGTAATCTTTCAATGAACTTCACTGAATACTGATGGCAAACAAGCAGGCTGACAGAGTGTAAAGCTTGATGTCAACATCTCAGACCTTGCAGCTGTGGACACAGCTTTAAAACGCTTTCATCTGCTCTGTTTCATTTCATTTGATACATTTGATACAACAAAAAACAAAAGAAACAACTATATTCAGTTCCTGAGCCTAAAAATAACTTACAGATTTAACCATCAAACAAGCAGCTACAGAACAAATATGTACTCAGTGACTCACCCATCTCTGTAAACTCTTCATTTATGACCTGCAGCCAGGCCACGTCTTCCTCGTTCAGGTCGTAGCGACACATCCCCTCCGCCAGCGTGCGGATGTCCACGTAGCCGAGCACTTCTGTGCCTGATGTCCGGATCAACTTCTTTGGCCTACCAAACATCGTCTCCTTTCCTTTCTCGGACAGCACCCTGCACAACCGAGACCTTCACATTCACTATCGTGCACATGCAGTACACTATGGTAACATGTTTAATCGAACTATACATTATTAACCAACAACTGGTGGTCTAACATGTACGGCAGGCTTTACAGTAGCTCCTAGCCGACCCAAAAACACCTCTGGACTTTTTAAGGCATTCAAGGACTTTTCTTTTCAATGACACTTTCAAAAAGGATGCGATTTCCTGGTTTGCACTTAAACAGCCCTCAAATTTATAAAACATGTAATATTTACAATTCTGATACTGATGAACAGTAGACAGGATGGTAAAAGTCAGATTATCTTTCATGGTCATACAAATGAATGGAAACACTGTTACTAAATTAGTAACACTGTAACATTTCTCTGCTGTAATTTTGTTAGAAGGGTATTTCCTGCACGGCGGGATTTCTGGTGTCCTCTCAAAGAGGCTTTAACCAGAAACTCACCAGCATTCTAAAAATGTTTTGTTAATAAGGGTTTCGTTTACTCATATTTTCTTGAAATGCATCAATGTCTGTTAGGCAGGATGATACAGACTCACTGCCTTTATCATACACGGACTGTGTTTGCTCACTGACATCCCCTAAAGGCAAATTCTGAACCACGAAAACCCTTCAGCACTCAGTGGTCGACAGATAAAACAATACAGGTTTCCAAGGTGATATTTTAGCACCATCAGCTTGATATTTTGATCTACCTCTACACAGGCTGTGCTAAATCACTTGGAGCCTCGGCTTGACTCGACTCGGTTTCAGACGTTTTCCGTTACAGCCGAGTATCACCTAATGCTGGGTTGTTATAGCAACGTGGTCTCGTGACTTCATTGTACATCACACAAACACCAAAGCAATGGAGAACGTCAAGGCGATGGCATACCTGCTGCTCGGTGTATGGCTTTTTGTCACTCTGGGACCACTGTGGTTTTTTTGTGTAGCCATTTCATTTGTTGCTCGGTTTCAAAAATGGCAGTTTTGATTTTCATAAAGGCGTGCTCTCATGACTCATTGAGTTACGCCACTGACTAGCCAATTTACACCACGTTTTTGCACTGCTCAGAAGCCCAGTCGAGTAGGTATTTAAAACATTTTTTTTTTTTAAGTACACAGTTTCAGGTTCTACCACCTAATTGAAAACCATAAAAACCGAGGCAAGTCGAGCCAACCCAAGTGGGAAAGGGCTAGAAGTGTCAAAGTCTCCGTCAGCTACGCTGCCTCTTATTCACTGAAGTGAACTATGAGTGAGATTGAATGTGTTACTTTTATTTCCTACCTCACAACAGGCTGTGGGATGGAGTGGGGGCTGACGGGGACCTGGACGCCCTTCTCCCACTCCTGCCTCCATGGGTCAGCTAGGACGTAGTAGTCCTCGGTGTTCAGCTGATACGAGTCGTGCACTTTCATGGCCGTGATCAGGTCCGTCCTGAAAACCTGCAGCACATAACATGAACATTGCTAAGTGTATAATGAGATTTCAGAGAAAACTGCTGCAAAACAAAGCTCGTCTCTGCAACAGCATCAAGAACTTCAATCAGCTTAAAGAAGAAAGCTGAAGGTTCGCTAAATTACATTTTTGCAAAGCAACTGATAAATAAATATAGAATGTATGAAAACGTATATCACTGTTTGAACAGGTTAAAAAAAAAAGAAAGGGAAAAATAATCGACCACATTGACCCTCACAGCTAAAGACAGCAAATTAGGATCCTGCATTGGCTCAAGTCATTGTTTTGCTTTAATTTGATTGGCTCTCTAGTGAAAGGGAGGACACAGTGGACTGCAGGGACCAAGTCCACAGACTGTACAGTAGATAACAGCAAACGTGCTTTCATCTCAAGGACACACTTGGAGTGTGGGTCCAAGATAGCACGTCTTTTCTTACACGTATAAACAACCACATAAACATTTATTTTACAGATGTGCTGCCAGCTGGTCCTTTCATTTTCACATTCATTTGTCAGCCACATATACACGTCTTTAGTTAAAATCTAAAGTACGATCCCAGAGTACAAGACTGACAAAAAAGAAGGGCCATTAATTCTAATCTACACATTTCAAGTTTTACAGCAACCTTTTAAAAACCACAATAAATAGTTTGAGACCAAATGCGTACCTCAGAGGGTTTCTGCCCAGTCCACCTCCTGTGCTGCGATGAATGCTGGGACCAGCAGGTGGAATTACCTGAAACAGAAACACCACAAACTGTTGTACAGACCCACATTTCTTCTTTGAGCATCAGCCCAAGTCTGCTGATTTTCTAATAAACAACTTCACACCATTAAATACGTCTGGATTTCCCCCAATGAGGGGAAACTTGAGAGAAACGCCTGGCTCATTTGGATAGTCAAACTGGGGCAACTGACATTTTCTGTTTTCAATTTCATTTTATCAGCTAGAGTCGCCAATTTGACTTTGGGCCAGGTATGAAATTGATGATCAAAATGGGGTTTTTTTGTTCTGATTTTTTAATCAACTGCAAGAACCACAATAAAAAGTGCTTGATCATTGTGGTGTGCTTTATGGCATTAAATATTTTAACTTGTCTGTCTAATAAAACCCTAAAACAGACCAGGCTAAAAGCAATTTCCAGTAAGCGCTTGGGGTTTGTTTTTATAACAGATGGCAAAATGATACGAATGCTCAGTCATAATGAAGCATGTACTTTGCTTTCTGTAATTTACAGCTCCGGGCAGCATTTTAAACAATGTGGTAAAAGTCCAACCTCTGAGGGAAACCAACAACTGCAAGCTGTTCCCAGATTTGAGACCATCTGCCTGACCTGCCAGGATGTCTTTAAAGGTCCAAACATTCCTCCTGTCCCTACTCTGTCTCCTGTTTCTCGGACTACAGGACTTCTTTTGCTTTTCCTTTATGTTTGTCCATCTACTGCACTTGTTTCTCTTTCTTTTCTTCTTTCCTGAACATGGAAGTACAGACTTACTCACACTGACACCAATAACATTAGAGATACATTTTCAAGTCTAACTGCAAAGCAAAAGTGTCATGGTTATCAAGGAAGCTGTCAAAAGACTTTACTTTTACTTCTAAAAATAGCCAGACTTCATGAAGTCATTCGCTTTGTCTGAACTTATCTCGGTGCTTGCACTTGTGCTGGCAGGGTTGTGCCAACCCTCATTCCCATCTACATGTGGACTTGGTATGAATGAGTCAGCAGAGACAATATTTTTGCTTACTTCCATTGTCCGAGTCATCGCTGCTGCTGGGGTGTCTGCTTCTCTTCATTGTCACCTGTCTGCGGAGCTCCGGCATAAGGGCACTTCACAAACAAGAAATGAGGTAGAGATACAAAATGGGAGGATGAAAAGGTACACGATAAACAACTGTGGGAAAGATTTGGTAGTAAGATTAATAGGCTGCCTTAAAACCCCTCACACAAAGAAAGTCGAGTCAGTTAGTAAATGCTACTTTTGGTGAGTGGCTTTGCACAATGCTGTAACCAAATCATGCTCAGTTACACCATTACCAAAAGCAAACATGTTGACCAAAAATATTCTTCTGGGTATTATCAATTAGCTGCAATTCACTGCAGCTAAACACGGTGGTATGATGTATTGATTATGCAAAATCTGAGAAAACGATCATGTTGTGGTGAAATATGTTCCCAACAGTAGGGGGGAGCAAAAATGGATCAATCAATATTTAAATCACTGCCATGCTAGTGCTAAATTATCACTTCTGCCATATGAGAACGAAGCACAACAACAGTCCAAGAACTTGTCACTATCCCACCGGTTTCCGTCCTGATCAGCCAGCATGGCTGTATAAACACACACGCACGCACCAGGCACTGCTCGAGAAGAAGTTACCGCATGCTGCACTGACAGGAAGCAACACTGTTATAAGATCAGGCTGCCCGTGCACGGAGTCTCAACTCCCAAGAGCACAGGAGGAAATTTCTCAGAATCCGCCGCCAACCCGCATAGGGAGAAAGGTGCTAACCCTAATTTAGCTGGCTAGGCTAAATGCAGGCTAGCCAGGGTCTGTGCGACGCCCCTCCTTCTAGCAAGCAGGCTGCAGAAAGTACGAGCTAAATTACGAGAAACTAGCTCAAGCCACCAGCTGATCAAAACAAATGCTCCCCGGTGCTATTCTGGCAGCCTTGTGTTATAAGGATACGGATGCAAGTTCTAAGCAGACCACGGAGCGTTGCATTTTTTAAAGTCACATTGCAACTCTACATGGCTAATGTTAGCCTGGTTGCTAATCTCCTATTTCCGTTATGTAACATAAGGCCCATCCCTAACCGGCGCCTCAAATTGGCATGTTTATATTTTTTAAGTTAGCAACAACATTCGCTATATACAAATAAGTTAACTTAATAAACAGAACATATGGATACTAATCCGTATCACGAATATTTTATTTTGTTGTCTAAAGTCATTGTACACCTTATGTTTCACTGACGTTGTTGGTTAGCACACCGGCTAACTAGTTAGCTGGAGGCTACACGTAATGTAGATTGTGTTTAGCATTATTAGCCGATGTTGCTAACATAACACAGGGTTCTACGGTGCCACTCACTAAATCCCACGGCACAGACAGCGCGCTGTCAAAGGTTAAGGGTCAATTCTTGTGCAAAACAAACTACACCAAATCAAAAACAACACGTGAATTTAAACTCATCGTTAATACAACACTGCCTTTTCGCTACTATGCAGCTAACCAGCAGGGCACAGTGTGGTAGGTTTACCAGCGGTCCACTGGTTGAGGTTAATCTTTGGCGCCATTTTAAATGACGATGTCGCGTTTTCCTAGCGGACTGCTAGTACGTCCATACTAGAAATATAAACTCGCTCAAATGTCTAGATAAAATAATTCTGGTACATATGCACCTGAATTAAAACAGCGTAGAGTTTAAATAAATTGCATAGTACGTACAGAGCACGTCAGGCCGATGCGAGCCGCTGTTTTGAGTTTGAAGCGAAGCGCAGTTTTTGCCTTGAGTTCCGCTTGACCCGCATTCCACATACACAAACACAGTGGCGGCTGGGGAGGAGATTACTCTGCACACACGCAGCTATGTGCATCGGCCGCTAGAGGGCAGCAAAACCGAAACTGGTAGCAGTAATCCGACAACAGATCACTGCAGGAAAAAACAAGAAGTTTCCACAGCCTCGGTAACAACCCACGTTACCCGGTTGCCAGTTTGAGTGTCAACAAACCATAATAATGTGTGCATAATTCTTTCCCAAGTGTGTACGACGGAGGGTTTCTACTGGCAACAAAGTCTCTGCTTTCTGTCAAGGACACCACACACTACAGGGACAGACCATCAGCAACATAAAAACAAACATTTAGTGAGAAAAGGACACATTTTCTTCCCTTCGTAAAGGTTTCCTAGATCAATATAATCCCTTTCTTTACTGATACGCCCCTTTTTGTGTTTCTTTCTGTGCTCTTCGATATTATTTACAACATACTGTATCAGCTCATTTATGAAAGCAGTTTGATAATATCTGAATATTTATCCCAGAAGCTAGGAAACTTGCAAGTTACAGCAAGCAAAACACTGAAAATAGCCTTTAATAAAATAGTCCCGTTAACGCAGAATAGCTGAATAAAAGGCAAAAGAAAATATCTCAGTGAAATGAAGTATTTTATTATACTTTGCATAGTTTGATCATGGATACACCATATTATAAATTTAAAAAAAACTGTAAGACTCATTATCTATAATTCTTGGATCCTCGTAATTTTTGCCAGGAGAAACCGAGACAAATGATCACATTACATATTGGATATGACTTCTTAAAATTGCTGCTTTGGTAACAAAGAACAATTTAACATAATAGTAATTCAATAACTAATGTGTAAACTGTGTAAAGTCCAGGCAAAAATTCAGGGAGGCTGTAAAAACATTAACTAATAAATATTTAAGACTAAAGAACTGTCACAGTATCAGCTACAAGGACAAACTCCCAACACCCTGTGGCTGTGTTTACATGCAATACTTTTAATACAAAAAATTATAAACATAATATTTTTTGTTCAAATGAACTTTTTGTACAGAATATCCAAGATGTGTGTCTGAAGGATGCATGCTTACAGGAATGAGCAGGAGGAGGAGGGTCCGGTGACTCAAATGCTCCATTTCTATTGCACATGTTGTTATTCTACATTTACATGTCATCAGTGACACACATGCTAATAAAACATAATCTCACAGCTCCATTAACACATGTTTTAATTCACGTGTGAACTTATCAGCAGCTATGAGGAGCCGATTTGATGCGAGTCGGCTTCTGGTGTGAACAAGAGCTTCAGTTCCTGAAGCCTCGCTAACTAACATCATAAAAAAAGAAAACATAAAACGACAAAATGCACCAGACATCAACAAAGAGGGTTTTTTAAAAAGCACCCAAGTGATTCTTTTTTCTTCAACCAGCCAACACAGTGAGAACTTCATAATAGCAGCAGAGGAATGATGAAGGTAAACAGAGGTGATCATAAAGGGTTAAATACAGTTGCGTCTCATCTTCCACTCGTCACAGTGAACAGGAAAGCTGGGAACACGCGCACGTTCACACACATCACATCACTTTTTTTAAGTTTAAAGGTCAGTATTTTTCCTATTTGAACTTTATTAGTCTGATGTGTCTTCCTGTGAGTGAGACAGAATCATTAAATACATGAAGACACACACATCTAGCACAGACTTGGTAAGATCTACAAGACAGACAAAACTGACTTTTCTACAGAGACTGAGAAATGACAGACACATTGCAAGATAGACACAACTGAGAAAATATTGTGTAGAACAATGAAAGCAATGATGGCAGCAGGTTTACAGTCTGATTTTTGCATGAACAAATATTATAGGCTCAGTTTTCCCAACAGTGTGAAAATGACTTTTTTCTTTATCTGGGTAAAAACTGTTTATGATCAGATTATATCTGAAGTCTGGATGTAATTCAAAATTATAAAAATAACTTTGTGCAAAAATGTTTAAAAAGGTTTTGGGGTGCATATGCAGTGCCCACTATGATATACTGGTCTAATATTCTGGTTGAATAGGCATAAAAAATAGTCCTAGAAGAGAAGAGAAGCGAGCGTCAGTGTTGACATTAACTCGTCCACCAATTTGGATGTGTGATGATCACAGTGATAATGTAGGATCAAGTAAATAAAGCCCCAGTCACACTAGCCAGTCAAATGGCCTGTGATCATTTGGCAACCACTGACTCTGAGGGAAGTGAGTATACCCCAACCAGTTTCTTGAAGTTGATAGTAGTCGCTGGGACATAAACAAGGAGCTTCTAAATGCCATAGGTACGAGTTCAACCAACTGGTGAAAAACTCTCTGTCATTGCTTTGGTTGCTAGCATGTTGCTGCTGTCCTAGTTTGACTGGAAGTGACAGAGTTGACTACAAACACTTCCCAGCCACTCTCCGAACTTTAGTCCAGCTGCAAAAAGTCCAACACAAGCTAGAAATAAAGACTCGTCACCTTCAAAGTAAAAGTTGCAACTTGTGAAACATGCTTGCCTCCAGTGGTAAGGCACGGCTTCTCCATTTCCACTTTGCGTAACATTTTTACAAATTGTGCAAATTTTTACAAATTGTAAAAATGTACTAGTTCTCAGCTAGATGAGTATTTGCAGACAACCACGAAAAACTACAAGCAATGTGCTAGCAACCAAAGCAATCACTAGGATGATTTTGGTCCTGCACATATTTTGCAACCATTTTCACCCAGCGAGAGCCATCCCATTGGGGAACACACATTTCCCATGCAAACACTTGTTGTGTCATCTTCAATATGGTGAACAACTCTTGAGCAATGAATTCATGTCAGAGCCTCAACACTGAGCTAACCAGTTTCTTATTAGCTTAGTGTATTTATTTAGTTAAGGTAAATTAAACATATCTGCAGGTTAATCTACTTTTGTCTTTATGCTAACTATGCTAAACAGTTACTTGTTAGCTTAGCTTAGCTTAATGTTAAGTTAACAAGCTTCTGGTGGTAGTAGTAGCTTCATATTTAGCATACAACCATAAGAGTGGTATCAAGAGAGAAAATCTTCATCAAATGTTAAATTTGTTTTTTAATCTGAACCCATTCTTGAATCTTATTTTGCTTGGTGTAAGGTGAGAACATTACTTATAGACGCAAGATATTATCTATCACAGCAGCAACCTCTAACCAGAGGTGTGGTCAAAAGACAAGGTGAACTGTAAGAAAAATTTTAAAAATAACAAATAATTGGTGTTGACGATAACATAAACTGGAGATCCATGTGGACAACTTTTTTTTTTTCTCCCCACAGTTTACAGTTTGATGTTGACATCTGTTCCTTATCGAGGCCTTGAAGTTTCCATTTAACCTTTCTCAGACTTTTGACAGATGCTTTCTAAGCATCCCGCTCTCTGTCTGAGCTCATCTGATGGCCAATATGGCATCATAAGATTTGCCCGTGCGGCAGACCTGAATGTTCTTGAAGCCGGTCTTGTTGAACATGTGTGTGTACTCGGACGGTGGGCGCTCCCTGCCCTTCGTCTGCACCAGCATGTTGAGGGAGAAAAGCTGAGTCATGATGGGCCCTCGTCTGTTCTCAAACAGCATCGCTTCTACCAGCAGGACGCCGCCGCCTGGCAGGAGGACAAACAAGGATACTGAAAGCAGTTTTTGTCTCAAATAGAAACAAAAACTGCTATAGGTATAATAATCAAATGAAAAATTGAGAAAATATAGCAACAATGAGTGAAATAAGTGTTTGATCCCCTCGAAACACATGATTTAGTACTTGGTGGAGTAAACTAGTGTTGGCCAGCAGGTTTGTGAACATCTTACAGTGCAGCAGATCATTATCATACAGGTCAAATCATTAACAAATGGAAACAATTACTAAAACTGTTATTTATGCTGTGCTCCAGATACCACGGAAGTCGGAACTTGGGAGTGTCGGCAGTAAAGTTGCAAAAGCGAAGAAAAATGGGATTTGTTTTCATTATTACCAAAGTAGAGCTATTCACGTGTCACAAGAAAAACAATGTAATACTTGTTTGCTGTGCTTAAAAACACTGCTGCGGGGCATTCAAAGATAGAGCCTGATGAGTGGGCTGAGTTACAAATACACAACAATGGCAGTACAGATGACAAGTTTTGCAGTTTTACTACTGTTTACATCACAGCCACCATCTATGGCTGTGATTGTGATTACCTCAGGATTGGTGGGGCTGCTCTGACTCTGAGTTGAGGAGACGTTCCAGATGAAAATTCCAACTGGGAGCTCAGAAATGTCAACTTCAAACTTGATCGCTCAATAATATACTCATATTATTCTTACTCTTTTGATGAAGCTCATTAGCAATGTGAAATGTAATAACAGTGGCTATTTTCAAGCTGGCCACTAACTCTGGTAAGAAAATGTCTCATTTTGACACAAACTGAACATAACTTGTCTGCTTTTGAAGCTGTTACTTCTCTACTTTCCCAGACTTGACAGATCTCACATTCAGTGGTTTGTCGCTAAAACAACAAACCCCCACATGTACCTGGTGTACTGACCTGGTGCACACATGTCATAGATCTTCTTCAGCAGCGTCAGGCACTTCTCTTCAGGCCAGTCATGAATGATTCTGGCCAGAACGTACAAGTCTGCAGTGGGGATTTCACCAGTGAAGAAATCTCCTGCACGTAGAGGGCGCAGCATTAATAAAGACGTATTTACCAGTTTATTGGTTACAGTGAAGAAAAAAATGCTTTTTTCCTAACTAATCTCATAGGGGACCTATTATATCTACTTCCATGCTTCTATGCATGATTCAGATTTCAAAATAACCAAAACAAGATGTTTAAGCTCCTTTCCTCCTCTTTTTTAACCCAGCTTTTTTCTGATTGGCTGCACCTTGCAAACAGGAGGTTTTGAACATTTTTCTATGCTCTTTCTAGGGAAGTACTTTCTATCTAACATTCACACACATTCATACTCAGACGCAAGCATTGGAGAGCAACCTGGGGCTAGTAGCAGAGGATCATGAACCTACCAACCTTCTGATTAGTAGGTGACTTACAGCCACCCCCATGTATGTTTTTTCTTAAACATTTAAGGTGTTTTAAATTATCCATAGCAGACTTACCGGACTGAAATACAATAGCATCATTCTCCTGAGAGAAATGCTTCTGAGCCACTTCCACGACCTGCTGGAGATCAAACACTGTGACTGTGGATGAGGGATACGCCTTTGCCATCTCGCGGGCCAAAGCACCAGTGCAACCTAGCAATCGTTCATAAACAGCGATCAACATTTATCAGAGGGAACAATCCTTCAAAATGTTCATTTTTGGTATACATGAATTTGAGGTATCTACACCAATCAGGTATAACATTACGAGCACTGACAGGTGAAGTGAATAACACTGATTATCTCCTCTTCATGGCACCTATTTGGGCGAGATATATCTGGGACCAAGTGGACATTTGTCCTCAAAGTTGATGTGTTAGAAGCAGGAAAAATGGGTGAGTTTAAGGAGATGAACGAGTCTGACGAGGACCAAATTGTGATAGCTAGATGACTGGGTCAGAGCATCTCTAAAACTGCAGCTCTTGTGGGGTGTTCCCAGTCTGCAGAGGTCGGTATCTGTCAAAAGTGGTCGAACGAAGGAGCAGTGGTGAGCCAGCGACAGGATGATGAGTGACCAAGAGACACTGATGCATGTGGGGGAGTGAAGGCTGGATAATGTGCCCTGCCACAAAGCAAAAATGGTTCAAGGAGCACAACAACGAGATTGAGATGTTAACTTGTCTCCGGTTTCCCCAGAGCTCAATCCAACTGAGCATGTGTGGGATGTACTGGAATCAGAATCAGAATCAGAAAGGGTTTATTGCCAGATGTTGAGCAGGTTTACAACATTAGGAAATTGCTGCGGTGCTTCAGTGCAACATACTGTCATAGAAATATGACAAACAGCTCCGATTCATGGAGGCCCCACCTTGCAACTTAAACGACTTAAAGGTGGACATAATGTTATGTCTGATAGGTGTGTGTATATCTATTTGCCTTGTTGGGAAGAATAACAGGCCCTCTCAGATGTCACAGCATCCCTGACAGCCTCTTACCTCCAAGATCTACTACGTTCTGGAAGCCGGAGAGATTGAATGCTGTCACAACGTCATGTCCATCCAGAACCCATGACGAGTTCATCAGACCCATGAATTTCAGCATGTCCTCTTCTGATCTGTGCGGTACAGTTTAGGTTCATATACTGAATCCTACCAAGCTCAAAGCCACACTTGAAGCAGCGGGATCAACACCAACCTGTAAATGGCTTGGAAGACCTCCTCTGCTGGAAGGCCGAATGTCTTTTCATTCTGATTCTTCCCCTCCCTGCATGATGACAGAGGATAAGGAACAATTCTTTGTGCTCATGAAAACAACACAAAGCGAAAGAGAATGGTTGCTTTACGTCTGCAAACATTTCTAAAAGCCCTGTTAAATCAGCTCGTTTTGTGTGGTATTTTAGCCTGATGTGGTCCCATGTGAATACACAGACCTGACAGCATCCACCAAGTTGTTCCACAGTGGGTAGATGGTTTGGGATTGGTAGACGATCATGTCATGGAGAGATTTGGCGCTGCCTTTGGCCAGATAAAGATTTGCCACGTCGGTGCTGCTGTACAAAGCTGTTTTAATAGAAGAGAAAGAGCAATAAATTAAAATGAAAGCCTTAAAGAGCAGCTAAATGTAACTGTTACACAATTACATACAATTTAATTATACCATTTTTAAATTATAATATTATTACCTGATGTAGCTTAAATTTGACATGTTGGCTTTTTGGAATGATCACACTGGAGATCATTTTCATGCCCAGGGAGAAACCATCATATTTTTGTAGTTTCCTTCTCTCTGTACATCAAAAACTACTTTCGGTCACCACAGCGGGTAGCTCTACAGATTTCCACCCCTTGTGCCCTTCCTGACACAACCCCGAGGGGTTTGCATCTCCTCCCAGAAACAAATCAGGGAGCTTTTGCTTGCTACACTATACCTGCCTCCTCCTATTCCTCACCTGTTCCATCTGTCTTCTCAACCTCCAGGATCTCAATGCCCACCAGCGCGTCCAGCAGCCTCTCCATCCCATCCAAGCTGGTGCCCAGCTCCTGAGCAACATGCTGGGCACTCAAAGGCTCCTGGGACCTGAGCAGCAGGTCAAATACTCCAAGCTCACAGGCTGAAAATATCACCTGCGGAAAGACCTGTCAAGTTAACAACTTTGCACTGGTAGGCAGACTTTTAGTTAAAAAACTATGACTATAGGCAGATCCACCACCTCAGTCCAGTTTGTAATATTTCTACAGTTCCTGCATATAGTGGAGAAAATCTGAATCGACACACATTAAATCAGACTGACACTTCCCGAAGATAAACCGTGAAATGTTTACCTTGGACACTCTGAAGCCGTTAAAATACTCCAGAAGTTTGAACGGGTAATCCAGCTCACTCTGGGACATATGCTCTGCCATTACTGCGCTCCTGGTGGGGAAACATACCGACACAACGCCCTCACAGCCGGAGGAAAAACTCGCGCTTAACGTGGACAAACACTCTCCACGGGATCACCACTTACCGTCCGGAAAGCAGCCAGAAGGATCCGAGTCTGGTGAAGGTTGGTTTTAGAGGGTGTAAGTGCAGCACGGTTAGTTTGGGTTTTAGATAAAACAGCCAAAATGTCGGCGGTGTGTGATGGAGCTGCTGCTGGGAAATGCTCGGCAGAGAATCAGCTAAGATGCATCCGTGATCTTGCTGAAAGCAATAGGAGAAACCCGCTTTGGCTTTACACAACGGCGACAGTGCATGAGCCACAACAGCCAACACCAAACTCACACTCACTCACACACGTTGTGATGAAGTTCCCGAATCAATCAGCGGCGGAGGGAGGCGCAGTTGAGTTGTTGATGTCAGAGATTTACGCTCCACGTGAATGAATAAATGCAGCTCTGAAATATGGATTAATGTTTATTATTGGTGTTACATGTACCTAAGATGTTCCAGTGTCTCTGGATATGACAGCGAACCCGGGAGAAATTACTTAGCAAGCACAAATAATATTTACTCATTCTTTGTGGCTATGAAGGACAAGAGGGGGGACAAAGTGTTACCTTGTTACAACCAGGCTGTCACAAAAACACAACACTTGTTCCGATTTCTTGTCTTGAACCTATGAAAACTCACTAATTGTCGAGCTGTCGAATTCTTTGACCTGTAAATTTGCAATTTTGTACATTTATATACAACGTCATACAATATAAACAATTTTAATGTTACATATTCTCTATATATTACCACTGTGACAGTGTTGCAACTACTTGCACCTTAAATTCTTACTACACCCACACATAAGCTACATAAGCACTTGTTTGCTTTATTATTTTCTGTGCTCAGAGTTAAGTCTATTCTTTATTTTAGTTATTTGTTTATTTAATGTGAAGGGAACCTGCAGAGTAAGAATTTAATTGCTCTGCGTATCCACTTGTGTTTTGTGGTGTATATGACAATAAACTTCTTGAATGTTGAATAAAAAATTCAGTTTGACAGGTTTTTGGTAAAAACAAGGTGATTCCAAAAGAGCTATCAGCTGTAACCTTGGCATGTCTCAGCATGACGTGCAATGTGTCCTTAAGAAATAAATTAAAATAAAGAAGTGGAGGAGAAAAGACGTGGCAGACCTAAAAATGATCTTTGACAAACGGACAGTATCTTAAAGTCTGTAAGAAACTGGAAAAATCATGATACGTGCATCTGGACCGTTAGATGATCAATCAGCTGTTTGCTAAAGACAATCAGAAATATTCTCTATGGAGGGGTTAATGTCAGAAAGGCGTTTTTAGAGAAGGGAAATAGGAAGAAAAGGCTGAAATAGGGAAATTATACAAGAAGTGGAGTAAAAAACACTCATTCATGGACTGGCCTCCCCACAGCCTGGACCTCAACATTATTGAAGCAGTGTGGGATCAGCTTGATAGAGATCAGAACGATATGCATCCAACATCCAAAGAAGAGCTTTGAAAGTCCTTCAAAAAGCCTGGAGAATTATTCCTGACTATTCCTATTCGTGCTTAATGAAATCACAAGAAAGCTTGTCTAAGAGATTTCAGCCTCTGTTGAAGAAAAAAGGTCCTCATGCAAAACAGACTTTCAAAGCTCATTAGAACTGTACAAACTGTTTTTCCTTCCATACAGGATCCAAAGGATGTTTCAAAACTTTTGCTCAGTACTGCAAATGTTTGCATACACAAGACTATTAATCCAGTATGTTTATATATGCGTAGATTTCCAGTATGTGCAGAGGGTGCAGCAATGGGAGGCCGAATTTCAGCTTTTGCAAAGATTTGCATGTTATAAATGTTGATGCTAATGTACCAGCGAGCTACGGTATCCAAATATTAGTGTTGTTGACCCAAGTCATGTTTCAGTTTTATGCAAACACGTTTTAACTACTTAGGATATCTTATGTATGGGTTGTCTTACGCAAGCAAATCAAACCTGTCCTGATGAGGCCGAGTGATTCATTCAAATCCTATGAAGTAAAAAAATATTCTGTTATTTGCTCATTATTAACATCACCCTAAGTATTTCCTTCAACATATAGATTTTTTAAAATTATTGCAGTATCAAACAGTAAGTTTAGTTCCTAGTTAAACACAAAGGTTTTTACTTTACTAGAGGCAGCTTCACATTTTGTGAAACTCTTAGCACATTTTTTTCTTCTTAGTTACATTACAGAACTTCTAATTACTGCATGCATGTGCCACCCAGCATGACTGTTCCCCCACCATCGCTGTCAGAAAAAAGCAAACAGGACTGATGGAAAGACAGTGATAAAACACGTGAAAACTGTGTTCCTGCTAGCGATCCAATCACGCATCTCAAATAAATTCCAGACATCTTCAATTATTAACCAAATTGATTTATTATGCATGAACAAATCCCTTCCTGCTTCTGTCACGCAGACACGCACACACACACGCCCAACATTTAAATACATGATGTGGTGGGAATTCAGCATAGCTCACTTTGTTGTTGCACATGCTTTAATAAAATGATAGATATATTTACAGGATAAGCAACGGCTCTGAAAAATTTTTTCTGCAATAACAGCTCCCGGTCCCACCCTGCAGCACACTGCAACACTCCTTGTATTTTGTTTTCCCCCCGTTTGGAAATTCATCAACATTTAAAAAGAAGTTTAGAACGCAAAGAAGGAAATACAAAAAAACAAACAAAAAAAAAACAAACAATGGAGGGGGGGTTTGGCCAATACGACATAGCATTATACGTATATGGAGTTCATCAACTACATAAATATGGCAGTAACACTGAGTAATTCATACGGACTATTTACAAAGTTTGTGAAGTGGGGAAATATTACAGTCTGTGCATGGACGACTGATAGAACATATGCCTTCTTAAAAGTCTGGGGGACCGAGTCTAGGAAAAGCCTACACCTCCATCCTTCTGCTTGCCTCCTCTGTTAGACCGGTCAGGACTGACACAACAAACAAAATAAGGCACAATTAATACTTGGACCATTTTCAGGGGAATCTACAGACTTGCAGCTGGCTTGTGAGGCATGTAAACAATTGAGTCGATTGATTAGGACTGCCCTGTCATCTTCCCTTTGTATTCCCGATCACTGATTCAGTCCGTCTGATGTGATTCAAAACAAGTTTCATATGGCGAGGACCTCTGACCCCTCCACCCCCTCCCATCCAAAATAAAAAGGAAACAAAAAAAAAGAGAAAACAAAACAAAAATTTGCCCTCCCGCCCTGCCCTCCCTCTATGCTACTCAACAAATACAATCACATGGTGACAAACAAAGAAAACTAGTAGTGCATACACTACAAACAACAGGAAAATGCGACGCCCTGCCAATTGCCTTTGGTTAGGCCACAGCACTGCCCTCTGAACAAGGGGAGACAATGACTTAAACACAAAAAACAAAAGAAAAAAAATAAATCAAATGATTGATTGATAAGCTGTCCGAAGCTGAAGCAGTTTCAGTTGCAATGTGACTAAACCAAAGATAAAAAGAGAGAGAAATCCGCTTCCCCATCCCAGTCCACTGATCATCTCAGACCAATGTGTTTCTCTGACTACCTCGGACCAGCCTCCACCCGTGCCCTGCGGCGACCATGACGACCACACTTTTCCCCCTCCCCCAGACAAATGATTAAAATATTTTAGGGTTTTTGTTTCAGATACATCTAATGTCACGAGGCCTCTCGCCGCCCCCAGATGTGTTTGCTGTCAATAAAAAAAAGCTCCTCGAAGGTTTTTGCGGTCAATCGCTTTCTGTTGGTGGTGATCTCTGTGGGATGGAGAGAAGAGGGAGGTCTGGGTGTTTACACTTGAATTCTGCCCTTCCAGAGCAGCCATGTCACCGGGCAGAATCAGGAGTGAAGATTTTGGCCAGTGGGGCAGGAGAAGGGAGTGGCAGATAGGCCAATAGGGCAGGAGGAAATGGAGGAAGTGGTCTAGGGGGGCCTGGGGGGGCCCTGTCACAGCTGTTTGGGGCTCCTGGCTTTGGTCGGAGTGATGGAACCTCTCAGTCGTGTTTCAGGTGGTCCTTGATGTCCTCCTCATCTGTGTACTCTGACGGCTCGTCGCCCGGCTTCAGTAACCTTCCGACGTAGTCATACTTTTCTGGAAGAAAGTGCAGAACAGATTTAAAGCTCAAACAAACGGCTGAGTGATCAATAAAATCACCTGACAGACGGCTAACCTACAAGTAACCGGACAATGGAAAAATTGTTTGGCTGGGTTTCCAAGTAAAATGTCAGACAGCTGGTCAGGGTACATTCAATTGCCTTACGTGGTCAATACATTTTGGAGATAAGGGATTGCATGTCTGATAAAGATTTGGCTTTTAATGCTTCGCTAATTTTCTCTGGATTTATAAATGACTGTAGGGCAGAAACAGAAATCTGGACCTGCATGTCTGCTGGCTGCCCTAAAAGCCACACACACAAAAAGTGACCGTTGAACCCCCAAGGCTGAATCAGCAGACTGGTTTTGGCTGGTAAAAACAAGACATCTGACCCATGTGTGACACAATCAGCAACAGTCCAAAAATCAAAGATGCTGTTTTTAGGCTTAGTTTGGGAAGGCTTAAGTGTTTGAGGCTGGAACCAAAATTATTACATTATAATTTGTTTTATGTCAGTAAATTAATCAACTCATGATTTAAGCTCCCAAACCTCTCTCTCAATACTTAAGCGAATACATTTGCCCTCGATGTCAAGATACAACTTTGGGCTGGAACAGCGCTGAGCGTAAATGACATGTTGTCATCCTCTTATAAGAGTCAATCAACTGCAGTTTGGGATTCACCAACTCAGCCAAAGCTGCTCAGTCCTGCTTTAAAGTGTTATTTAAGCAAGCAGAAGCCCGGCAGTACTTCAGACGAGTTCCAGTCCAAAATTAGACACTAATACAGTAGATCTGAGGTAAATCACACGAGGAAAGTTTTAAAACGACAGACTGTAACAGGATCCAACACTGTGCTGCATGTACAGTAGGGCTGGGCGATATGACCCAAAATTCATATCTCGATATTTTTTAGCTGGATGGCGATATAAGATATATATCTCGATTTTTTTTTTT